TTTTCCATTAATCCATTTGCTCCCTGATATAAAAATAGTGTCACTACTGTCTGTTTGTATCAGTATGTTTGCTTTTAAGAGCAAGAAGAGAGATGGGGAAATCACAACAGCCCAGAATAACTGTGAATACACAAGTTCCAACAAAGTGGGATAATGTGAAGTTGAAATTATGCAGTGAGAATAGTTGAAGTGGAATAAAAGTGCGTATTATTTGCTAAAGTGAAGGCGTTCCTGTTTTGAGCTGTGAAGCACTCCAGCAGATTTTCCACCACATCAACACGAAGTAAAACGCAGTGTACATGTGAGCTGACAGTCTCCTCGGCGAGAACGTGTTTGTTTGTGGTAATTATGCTGATGTTTTCAAATTAATGTGCTAGTGATTGAGGTTAAAATGCTACACATGGCGGCTTCAATCTAATCTGATTAAAGGTGTTTCGCGCACAATGTAGAGGCCTTGATTTAAATCCACATCTCCCGTGCATGTAATCACTCGGATGGCCCTACACGGGTCACATCTGACTAAGGAGACACTTTGGAACAGCCTGCAATCCTACTACTACTCTATAATTTATTTACTCAACCATGTATTGTATGATATCTGGCTTGATATCTATAGACCGTGATATATGAAGCAACTTTAAGAACCAAAGACCTCCTTGTATTGATGCATTTAATTACAATATATGAACTTATTGCTGGTGTGAGACATCTGAACACATCCATGACCTTGTGGCTCTGTTGGAAGTTGCGACTACCACCATTAGATCAAGTGTCAGAAAGAAACCGCTCAAGGTAAAAAAAACATAGGCGAGCTTGTCCCTGCGGTGAACAGAGCATCCGATTTAGAGTCCCCCATCTACTCGCAGCATATTCTGAGGCGCTGATGTGTCTATACTACCACCTATCTTTAACTCGCTGCCTTCTTGGTAGAGTTCCCATGAGGAACGTTGTCAGCTCTTACACCCAAGCTGACATATCACCATTGACAAGCATTTGTGGGAATGACAGCTCTCACAGGGAAACCTTGGGTGTTTAAATGTTACACGCACACACCCCCCAACACCCTGATCATGAGAAATGAGCTTCTTTTGTTGCCAGTGCTTGCTGCTAGCCAGGGCCCCAATATTTGAGATGGATAAATACTAACCAAACAGCGTGATGTTTGGGTATTGGAGCAATTAATTTGGTTTAAAATGAATCCAGTCAAAACTGTGGATAACTGACTGTCCTTCCAGGAATAAATTGTTTCAGTAAATGTCCCAGAACCAACATATGTTTACGATGCAGTAACCCTATGCTGTAGCAATCTGGCTCTAAAACGTTGGACTTTAAAATGGGAGGCCGCTGTTCGCTTCCGATTTCCTACCAACAATCGACATTGGAGTGTTTTAGCGACTAATATAGCTTTGAGCCACAGACCTCAAGCAGGGAAAGCAGAAATATCAGCATTGCTCGATAAATTTACTTGACACTATGTAATATTCTATCAGCTCCAGTACAACAGTTCTCTTTTACCCTCTCTGCTTCCTCAGCTTGTGCCTTGGGGTGGGTTAAATTCCCATCAACAACACCCTGTATCTCTGTCGAGATTCATCAGAGCTGCAGAGATTGAGGTCCAACAGGAATCAACCTGAGCTCAGGTCTCTTACTTGAATGAGTAGCGGGCCAGTGACAGCTCTTTGGAAATACCACCTGGAACATGTTAGCAGCTTGTCAAGGCACACTGTCTTGAGGGGTGGGGTGAGGGCAGCGGCATCACCTGCCTTTTTCCTGGACTTCAACCTCCCGGCGATCTGACTGATCCTCCTCCCTCCCTTCTGACATTTCTCCCTGCCGACACGTGCCAGAGGCCTTCACTTTGCTTTACACTCTTGTTTTGTCTCTCTCTTTTCTTCCTCTTATCTCTCCTCTCCCCTTTCAGCCTCGGGATCAAGTTTCAGGCCGACCTGAAAAACGGGGGCGATGTACTAGAGAAGAGAGGCTAAATGACTTTCTATTGTTGAGCTGAATGTGGATGTTTATCAGGACGGGGACAGCTTGCTTCTCTGCACTACCTGTTGTCTGAGGGAGATCACAAGGCTTTCACTGCCTTTGGTAATGTATCACACCACCACCCACGTACTGTAAGCCTCGACTGCCTTTGGTTGTTGTCGGTGCCAGGCAGACAGACAGGTTGACAGAGCATTGGAGAGACAGACGGGCACACTTAGTCATTGTGAGCAGCAGCACAGCCACGGTAGGAAGAAATTAATAAAAACAGCCAAATTAACATGAAACAAAACCTCTACAATGTATCTTAATCTATTAGTTATGAGCCTTTTGATGGATAAAAAAAATGTAATCAGTGTTTGGTAAAGAGCAAGAGAGCCGCAGTATTTCAGCAGCCAGTGCAAACATTTCTTAACACACTCTGAAAATAAACCTTTGTGTTGTTGTCTCTCTTGATCTCTTTGGCTTCACACGGTTTTGATGTTCGACTGTCACCAGTGTCAACTTTCATCAACCTAACAGGGAAGCTGAGCAGAATGCATGCTCAACATAATCTCTTATTATGATCAACTTTCATTAACAGCACTAAGAGGAAAAGGCTCACCTTGGCCCAGCGTGTGCTCGAGCAATGACCCTAGCTTATTATTGAATCCTATACAACATGAGACGACTTTATTGTTCAACTATCTGGGAAGTTTTTCTTTTTTCTTTGGGCTTGATAACGAATAGCGACGAACAGAACTCCAATATAACTTCTTTATTACCACAGAGACGTTGCAGATGACCTTCTGCGATATTGGCTGACTGGCAGGCTGATGAAGGGCAGTAGGGACTGAGCGGAATTAAAGTAAGAGTTGTGTGTGCCCGTGCTGCCTCGATGCGAGTGACATCGGGGGAAGGGGTGAAGGCGGCTGGAGGTCGGAGAAGTCGGCTCGGGTTGAGTTATTGGGTCAAGTGAGAAAATTTGGGTGGTGGAGGTTAATTAGTTAGAGTCAAACATCCTTCAACAAGTATTACCGAAGTGCCAGAGAGGCAAGGCACTGCACCTCAACTGCTCTGGTGGAGTGACGTAGGAGTATTCGAGGGCTAGATGTGTGAATGTGTGGTTTGGTTTAGGAAACCCAGGGGGGGGGAGTTAATTTGTTGTTTTGATTTGTTCTCCAATTTATGTCATTACATTGCAAGCAAGTCTGCAGTAGGTGGGGTAAAATGAGAAACCTTTACCCAAAGTGGTACTTTTGTTGAAATACAGCACGTATCGTGATGAATTTTGAGAGCAAGAAGCAAAAGGAAATGGATGAGAGCAGAACACTGCCCAATAAACTAAAACAACAGATAATACTGTAGATTTCATGCAGGTGGGCAGTGCAGCTATGATTAATGGACCATTCGTTTGGAATAAACTTTCTGAAATTTTCAGTTTATCGTTTTATTTTCTGTCCATCTTGGCTATTACACTCTAATGTATCAAACAAATTGATTAGCTTAAATTAAGTTAAACCACCTATAGAATAATTAGCCAGTAAATGTAATTAGGATTATAGCAAATAATCAAATGGTGTAGATGGGGCTGAGCCATGGAACATGGAGGTATAATGTATTATTGGGGTTTTTATCAGAAAATAAAATGGATGGAAGTCAGGCTGAAATGTTAAAAACTGTGTTCTTTTATAATTCACCAATTTGCAATATAAAAATGAATGAGAAACATTTTACTTAATTCTTCAGAGTAGTGTTGTGTGTTTTTCTTGGTTTGGAGCTGTGTCAGACTTGTGGTTTATTGCCTCACCAGCAACATTTTCCTGATTGAGGTGAGCCACTATGCATTATTAAACTCCTGAAAGCTGAAAGTGAGACCCACTTCGACCCTTTTTGGCATACATCTTACACTTTTACTTTCCTAAAAACGTAAATGCACTTAAAAAGTTTATTCTCTTAACATACAGTTCCGTTTTCATCCTTTCTTCCCCCTGAAGTGGCTTCAGTGTTGGAAAAATGTCACAATGTCTGGGGACATTTATTCTGTATCATCTTGTTGCAACTCATAGTAAAACATAAGTTTTTTTATTTTTTGCACTTGCAATCTCCACTAAAATGTAAATTATAGTTTTGTGGGTATGAACAATGTTAACAATTCACTGACATATACAGTCTATATATTTGCTCTGTGGAACTAGTCAGACACTTACCTTGAATTCCATCTTAAATAGGTACCATCAGCACAACATCATCATCCACAGGAAAGCAAATGAGCTAATGGTAGGCATGCAGTGGCTGAGGAAAATAATTCAAAATGATTGTCAACTCATGCAAAGAAAAAATAAGATTAACACAAAAAAAAGGATGAAAATGAAACAAGCAACACGGATGGGACATGCATTTCAAAGATGGATCAATGTTCAGCTAAAGCTACATGCATATCCGTTTGTGAATGGCTGATGTACAGTTTGACACAGATACGCAACGGCTTTTTCTTCATTTGTTGTCTTCTCTCACTTCACAACACCGTTGAGGGATGTGCAAGTATTCAGTAATGCGATTGCTTTTGCCAGTAATAACTACTGCAACAAAGACCGAGTTATAATATTGCAGTTACCAATCAAAAAAGAGATTATTGCTTTTGTTATCAAGCTGTCTAAATCTCAGATTGAACGGGAATTATCAAAAAGGCTTTAAATCCTGCCACTGACTTCCGATTCATTTTTCTCATATTAGACTCACGCAGCTACAGCTTGAATGAGCCGTGGCGGGGAGTTTTATATTATCTGGCGAAAGTATTCCCATCACTTCACTTAAAGCAAATGGATGACAAGATATTGGACATCAACACTATTCCCTTCTGCTGATCATTCACCGGCAAGAAAGGAGTTATCTGCCAATTTGGTGGGTGTAACAGAAAAGCAATATATATATAAAAAAACAAAAACAAATGACTTCTCCCAAGAAGGATTAAGTTATACAAGCCCTTTTGAGATGAAGTAATGTTCCCCACAGGCGGTGCAGTTGGGTACCTAGAGCTGTCCTTGCAGGCGTGGCATCGCTCTTGATCCAGAAGGAGACCCAGGAGAGGACCACAGTCAGGATACAGGGGATGTAGGTCTGGATGGTGAAGTAGCCCATCCGTCTGCTAAGGTCAAAGTATACCGTCATCAACACGTAGTCGCCTGTTGAAAGAGAGATAGAAAATGGAGCAGTTCACTTAAAAAGGCAAAACTTGATTACAGAAATTAAAATGCAATAAACATCATCATGTTAGCATCATCATTGGTAGCATGTCATCATGCTGACATTAGCATTCAGCCCCAAATACAACCTCACCGAGCTGCTAGTGTGGATGTAGAATATTACAGTAGTCTGCCAGACAGAACTCTGTTGTATAATATTGCTGTTTTAAGTTACATCATACTGCAAGGTGACCCTGCTAATTTGTAAGTTACACTTTTCCATCCACCCATAAACAGACCACCACCCTCGAGGATCTGCTGCAGCACAGTGGCTCATGAGTAATTAAAAAGGTCTGATATGTAGCTGGAGGCTACATTGTGCTGTGATTTTAACTTGGTCATCAAAACAGAGGCCAGAACATTTTACTGCAAGATTGTTAAATTATCCTGCACTTTATCTGAGAAGCTGTGATAGTCAGTAGATTTTAAAAGAAGACAGGTCTGTGTCTTATGTTTGGGACAAACAGAAATACAAAACAACCAGGGGCCAGGGAATGACCCCTGGGCAACACCGCACAAAACATTTTCTGTCAGTAGAGAAACTGAAACCTTTTCAGAGTCAGTCCAGTTTTCTAATGAAATTGTCTGAAGTGTCTAAAGCTGTACTAAGATCTGAGGTCTTCAGTAACTTTATTTAAGACAGTTTCTGTACAGTTTGGAGTCGATAAACTTAACTGAAACTCAAAGTTGTTTTTATTGGTCGCACAAGACATCAGAACAGTGTTCAATTCCTTCTCTGATAGTTTGGAATTAAGTCTATAATTGCTTTAAGTAAGATAATCTGGATCAAACGGGAAGGCAGACAGACAGAGGGGAAAAAGACAAGGACAGAGGGAGACAGGAAAGAGAGGAGATAGCTGGAAAATAGTGAGGTGAATAAAATTTAGAGAGAGAACAGAGAGACGACAAGGGGAGAAAAACCTTAATGGAGCTCAGACAACAGAGGAAGGAACTTCTCTCTAACTTGAGCAACTATACAATGGCACTGTCAGTGTGAGGGGAAGAAAGGAAAGTAGAGTGACAGAATTTATTCAGCTGCCTCTTTAATGGTCCGACTACAGTAGGATGCTTGTTATTGCAAGCGTTAATTGACAGCAGCAGGTAGATATTGAGCTACGACACTTAGTGAACAAAAGCCATTGTTCTTCAACCATGACAAAGTTCTACGCATCAGAGGAGCATTACTTCAAATATTACTGAAAAATGCCGTTTGATAATGTGCTGCCATTCAGGCGTTTCCATGAGAAGGATGTCAGATTGAATAAAACATCTGTAGGAGAAGACCTTTTGTCCCCCGCTCACAGCTGAATCTCACCTCATTCTTCATATAAAACTGAAATAATCATTTTAAATCACCAGGTGCAATGAATAAAAAGGCCCCGTGTCTTGGCGACACATGTTCTGTGTAAGTGATAAACACTCACCAGCACCAGTTTTGCTTTTCACAGTGTTTTTTGTGATGTCCAGGGCTGTTTTTAGGAGCTTTTTTTTTTTCCTTTTCACGTTTAAGTCAGTCACACTGACATCCAATACAGCCTTTCATTGTTAAGACGCTGTTCTCTCAGTTTTTTGTCACATTTTTAATGACTTTGGGCTTGTTTTACACTGCAATACAGTCTTACACAAAGAAGACAATGCAAACTGCACAATCATGCAGTAAGTAGAAAAAAATAATATTTTGTGCAGTTAGAATGCCATAAATTATAAAGAAAAAGAAAGTTGAATTTCTTTTGCTATCATACAAATATCAAAAAACATATCATAACATGATCATAATTGGAGTACCATGACTGTAAGTGCAACGGTGAATCCTCAGCTTCAGTCAGTTAAACAAAACATATAATAAATGATGATCTAAACTGAATTTGAAATAAAGCCTACAGGATCAAGATCCAGATGTTTTCTCTGGGAATGACAGCAGTAAAAAAGGCCCCACTGAGCCCCATTAAAGCACTGACCGCACCGCATCGAGCCAACAATGCTGAGTGGACTGTGGGGCCACTAAATATACAAAAAGCAGCCAGCAGCTTCAGTTAAAAGCTCAGGTTAGGATCACACAGAAAGTGGGGAATTCAAGCAGAGCTGCTTTGAGACATTTCACAGGTGAAGGACACCTCCATGGCGCCGAACAAGTAGTTTTGATTGTGCTGTTGAAGAGTGTCGAAATAATGTCCAGACCTTACTTACACAACAGATGCACACTGACATCCGCACTCAAATACTGCAGGGCACTAAGGTACTAAGAAAAAATGAATGTTATCTTAATGCAAAGCTAAAACTGGTATAAACTGATTGATTAATGCAGTACAGTATGCTAAATGTGAGTAATATAGGAACAATTTGGATCATAATCCAATAAATAAAAAAATTTAAAAAAAGTCAGGAAATTTCATATCCTAAACATGATTAAAACCAGGATAAAATTGATTACAGACTAGTGTGCATATAAAGGTACTAATAGACAGACGTCAATGTGATGATGAGGACATTACACAGGCAGAAGTTGGATAAAGTTGTATTCAAGTAAAATAGCATTAAATTCTTAAAATAAATATTAATTAATTACATTACAATGAAACAATCCCAGTTGATTGTAACCAGGGCACCAAGATGTATAGATTTATTATAATATTACAGTTTTTAGTGTTTGTTCAAGCTTTTTCTGCCCAATAGCAACACTTCCTCACACTTACATACATAGCTATTAACAGTGGACTCATTTGGAAGAATTAGGTAACTGTTGGGAAATTGGGAAATAAAAATGTAGTGAGTGGAAGGTGGGATGTATGGTGCATAATCACTTTTTATTTAAAGAGAGTCAATTTTGTAAATACAAATGTGCTTTTAAGAAAGACCAAAATTTAATATCATAACTAAGGAAAGATGCATGTAATCAGATCTTGTACTAAAAATAATTAGTTGCCTGTATATTACAAAGACTGCAGCAAATTACCTGATTAATTTTCTCCAAAGCAACATTACAACAAAAGCAAATATTAATCACAACACAGAAGGCACATAAAAAAAAGAGTATTTTGCCATTTCATCAAAATAAAACTGTCTAGTTTTATTTTATGCGCCCGTTTATGTCTGAGATAAAGTGTCTCTTAAAGCAATCCAAAGTGTTTCTGGTTAAATAAACAAAAAAACAACTCAATTTTATATACCAATAGGGGTCAATAAAACAACATTGCAGCTTGAATTATTCTGCGCTTCCTCACTTTGAGTACAGCAGTGCACAGTCGTAGAAGCAACCCAAGATAGACACTCTTCTGCAGACAGAATGTCTAATTTGACAGTTTAATGCTCAGATGACATGCGTCATTTTGCAAAGTTATTCTTGCAAATGTTGCAGGATTATACCGTTTAGCTTGCATTAATGACTGTGTGGAGGCAGCAATAATGTACATTCCCAGATGGACTATCTACAGCCGTGTGCGTACCCACGGTAGTGTGGTGACTTCTGTGCATTGTAGCAAACAACCCCTCTGTTTACATTCTGTTAGGACAGTAAAAAGCCCTCTGTTTACACACTCCTGCAGAATACTTATTAGCCCGAGTCACCCGCTCTACACTTGTCTACAGACTCTGTCATGCCATGCAGTCAGGTCTGCTCTGTTTGGAAGCTGCAAGGAAAACGTGTTTTATTACTGAGCTCAAGACAACTCAGCTGAAATGTTATTGTGGATTCTTCACTAAACTGACAAACAATTGCAGTGATGGCCAGAAAACAACATTTCTTTTCTCAACTAAGTTTTGAAATCTTTCCACACTTTTGTATGTAAAATTTTTGGAAACTAATTCATCACCGTGGGATGGTTATTAATGCCAGACCGCTATCTCACAATGAACCAGATTATGTGCCAGCAGCGCATTCAGTTATACTATTTTGAGGTGTTTGTTATGTAAAAGGCTGGTTTAAGCAATGCTGGTCTTGTTGGCTACTGAGCAGCTTCACTGTAGCTGTTGGGGGGCGTTCAGGGTCTTGAGTTCAGGAGGTGCTGCTCACCCAGGTTAATCTGCACCCTGAGGTCATCCTCCAACCGCATGCTGGAAACTAAAACTTTCACTGAAGATTTGTTACCTTGTGAAAGTGTCAAGATCAAAATGTCATGTTTTTGTTTTTTTTGTAAATGCTTCATTTTTTGCCTTTAGATTTTCCAACCTAAGCTTCATGTACTGACTTTTGTTTTCTCCAACAAAAACAAATTCTCTCGTGGTCAGTTTCTTTTCATCATTTAATTTTCTTTTCAGAAACGGGTAATAAAAAACAAAAAGTGGTGATTTGATTTTTGTTTGAAAGTACAAAACTTTTAATTGAAATACAAGGCATTTTTCTTTGTCTTGGTTATAAGGGGATGGTAGACTTTTTTTAAGGATTTGATTTTAATTTTCAGTTTTATATAACAAAAAATAAAATCACTAGAAAATAAAAAACATAAAAAATGCCTGTTTTTTCATATTCTGCGACCTCGGGTCATTCTACAAAACCAGAGCGGCAAATGTAGGATTGTCAGTGTGCCAGTGTTGCTTTATCCCAGGCTAAAATGTCTCTGATATGATTTTAGACTAAACAAGGTCTGGCATTTTAAAGAAATCTTACTGTGGTCAAGTGAGGGAAAGTCAGCTCAAATTAC